TTTATAAAATTGAAAAGAAACTTGTATTGAAAAATGGGGCAGATTAAAGAATTACAATAAGTTGTGCTCATTAAATACTGATCCTTAAATATAATTCTTATCATATAAAATAGAAAAAATAACCAATCTAAAGGCGGGGAAAATAATCATTAATTGAGAAATTAACTCTCAGTCATCCCATGAAGCTTCCGATAACAAGGTTAAACGTAAAGAACATCCAATCTCGGTCAATCATCCCATGCATGGAGCTTCTAAGCATTCTCAGAATCTCGATCACTATGCCCTTAGATCAGTTTCAAACGTGCCACAAGCCTTCCTCTAAAAAAAAAGAAAAAAACCCATTAAAACACTTGAACAGACAATAATATACACGTGTTTTATATTTATTTGATGTATCAACATGTATTCAAGGAAATGGACGAGAGGGAGGGAACCTTCGTGTTAAGGGATTCGTGCTGAAACTACTCAAAACAATCATTACAAAAAAATTATAAAGATGTTACTCCCGAGCCAAATGTCTCATGATCTAAATACAGATCTGGTTGAATCGGTATATTTAGGAATGTAATAACCATTATGATTTAAAATATTTTTATTTTAAAATTTTATCAAAATAATATTATTTTATTTTTTAAAATTTATTTTTATATAGTATATTAAAAAATAAAAAAATAAATTTTAATAAAACATGATTTTAACCGTGTTTTAAAACGGGTTAAAAGGTCTTTAATGCTGGTTTGTTCTATTGGCTCCAATTCAGCTGGCATCTTGTCTGGGGCTTTCTGTTTACCTCATTTAGTATGACCCTGCAATTTCATAGTTCTTTTTTTTTTTTTTTAAATCCCCTTGGACTTGTTTTTGGACGCATTCAATCTCCTCAGCTTGCTTTTCTAATGACTTGATCAAACAAATTGCGTGAGAAAAATCAGGGGTGGACATAATACGAAAGTATTATAGTTTTTTATTTATTTATATTTCCTTTCGTTTCAACCAAAAACAATTATGGCTTGAAGAATGCATTATTCTTTCATATGATATTGGTTGAAGTCTGGAGAGTTGTGGTGGACAGGCAGCAGCATCTTTCTGGACTAAAATACGTGTTCATTTGACCACCGGCAAATGTGCAAAGTAAACTTCAGCGGATTCCTTTTGTTTCTAAGCATACTTCATTTAAAACTATATTTGGGACAGTATGATCAAGAAGATATGTAGACGACAGCAAAATCAAACAATTTCTCTTGTGATTGCCTCTCATTCGTATTTTAAAATCAGACTTGTCTGATGTTAGGAGTTAGTTTAGCTTTTCTTTTGTTCCATAATATATATACCATGCTGATACACTGCATATTCAGCAAATTTTCATTTGTCAATGTGGTGGTGGTGATTAGGAACGTGATTATAATTGTTTTTAAAAAATTATTTTTTAATGCTTTTTATTATTTTGATGTGTTAATGTAAAAAAATTAAAATATAAAAAATATTATTTTAATATATTTTCAAATAAAAAATATTTTATTAAATAATTTGATCGAATAAAACTTTTGAATTTAAATGGGATAAAACCAATCCCTTTACATTTAACTAAGGACAATTTAGGATATGTCTCCAATTGTCGTAACACGCTGCATTTATCTAACTGTTTAATACGCCCAAGTGTTGGATGATAGGTCACGAGTTACCTTAATTGGAAGTGGAGGGGTAGAATATTTGAATTAATTTGGAGTGGAGAGTTTGATTTTACCAAATTAAAAAGTTGAAGGACCGTGCACGATTCTAGCCTTATTATATGCCAAATTATTCTTTTGCTATTTTATTATTGTAAACTATGTAAATATCGTTTTATATCTTAGAATTGACTTGATTTTACATTCTCTTACTTGTACAAATTGTTTGAGCAAATTTTTTATTTAATTAAAAAATCATGATATAAAAAAACACACCCAACACCCTATTGTTTTACTTTAAAAAGTAATTTGAAATCTGATCTGTAAACTGATTAAAAAAAAAGGGGGGGGGGGGCTTTTTTGTTTATTGCGCATTATTGTATATTGTATGCATATAAATTATGTAAGAAACTTGGTTATTTATACTTGGATGTGCTATCATTGTTTACGACAACTTTCTACATGGAATCCCGCATTCAACTCTAAACCTTTTACTTCAACAATAACACAACTAAGATTGTCCCCTCTCGACAATGCCTCTAATTTATTCACATACAATATACATAATAGTACAAAAACCAGGTTTCTTCCTTCTTTCTCATGCCCTGTTTCTCTTTCCCCGGAAATATTGCCACCTCACTAATTTATTAATCATCAGCTGGGACTATGAATATTAAGCGTTTTTTCGAGTGTTAGTGTGATTGGTTTTTAAAAGTATTTTTTATTTAAAATATATATTAAAATAATATATTTTTTTATTTTTAAAAAGTTATTTTTAATATTAATACATCAAAATAATCTAAAAATATCAAAAAATATTAATTTAAAAAATA